AACCTTATGTACAGCTATAAAATTGTTCTAGTCACTGACAGGAGAATAACAAATTCCTTTGTGCAATGGTTCTCAAATGGGATGTTGGCAAGAGCTTGCTTCAGTGCTTTATTTGAAGCTTGAACAGTAATGTACTGACAGATTGCTGACTCGCTACCTTGGGCCTTTCCTTTCAAGACCCAGTGATGAGAAAATATAATAAAAAAAATAATTCTTGAAAGAAAGAGAGACCAAAGCAGAGAGCGATCAAAGGGGAGGAGATGCACAGCCTTGTCCAATAATAATCACACAAATACACCAAACCTGTTGAAAGCTGCATAATGGAGAATTCTTTTCCACAGATAGATCAGGCTGCCAGTCTCCTTCTCTAACCTGTCTATGAGAATAATGTAAGATCAGTCCCTGACATTTAATTCTTCTTTTGAAGAGAAAGCAAAGGAAAAAGGTTGCAGGGTTGAAAGTAGTAAAGTCCAGATTAAAGGCATTTAGGGGTCTAACCCACAGATTTCAGTGGGAATTAGGTGCCTAAATACCTTTAAAGAAATCTGGCTGTAAGTACTTGGGCCAAGATTTTTGGATGTGATTAGTGGTTTCTGTGTCCTTGGGTTTTGGTAGCTCACTTTAAAGGCACTTTACAGGGACATGATTGGCAGAAAGTACAGAGCACCCCATCCCCTGAAAATCAGGCTTTGTTAAGGTAGTTCACACTGGTCACCATGAACACTGAAGCATCTTCAATTGTTGATCATATCTGAGGAACTGTAGAATTACAGCAGTGGTTCTCAACCTTTTTAGACTCAAGATACCCCTCCTTAAACTCAAGGCAATCCTTGGGAAATGCCAACTCTTAATTTTAATTAATGTTTTTGACTATAGAAAAAAGTAGAATACTTCTGCTGCAATGAACTCAGAAAGACCATACCAGGTCAGAATGTTTTAATACTATGATTCACATTTTAATTCTCTGTTTTTGAGTGTTTACACACCTAACAGAGCTAACAGTGTGGCACCCTGCAACTGTGCTACCTTGCTTAAGAATCACTATCTTAAGAGATTCAGGTTTGTGGACCTGTCTTCTAATGAGAAAACAGCTCAAAAGACTTTGCTTATTAAGGATGTGATAAGTGCACTGAGCAACTCTGTCGTGAAGTTTAGCTGGAGCAGTACTTTGGTGATACAGTCTGCATTACCAGGCCAGGCACTGTACACTTGCATGGTGAACACCCATTATTATGAATCTTCCTAAAGATTTTCTGTTTATTGGCCTCTCAGTTTATCACTGAATCTTCCTTATTTTTTGGATGATCCGAACACTGAAGAAGTGTAGAGGTGGGCTTTGTAGATGATAACAATGTTCCCAGAGAGCACATCTGCCTTGCAGCAAGACTAAGCAGCTCCTTCTTCCTCAGAATTAAGAGCCTTCTCTCATGAGGCATGAGCACAAAAATGTATTGAGAAATAGCTTCTAAAGGAACTGTTATTGGGGTGGATGCAGCAAAAGGGAGCTGATACAGGCCAGCTGGGTGCAGGAAGCTCTGAAGAGTTGAGAGGTCAGTATTGTTTTCATCCTACACAGAGGTGTTTGCAAAAACTAGGACAGGTGGTAACTTTGTCTGAGAGCCATGTTATCTGCCTGGGGGAATTATTTTGAATCCTCTGTGAGATACAGCCATGATCTCCCAACATGGATTATTTAAATAAGCAAAAAAAGAGTAAATGATAAAAAAAAAAAAAAGTAGCAGAGGAAATGAAGCTTTGTGTCAGGGATTCATTTTTCCTTCTCTTTAATATCCTTCCCAGCTGAACGTTAGAGCTCTAAGTCAATGCCCTGAAGCTAATGCTTTTATTTAGATGTGTAAATACAGATGTGATTTATACTGTAGGAAGTGTAGGTGATGTTGAGGGAGCAGCTATATATTGCAATGTGACAAAAACAGCAGTTGCTCAAACTATAACTATAGCTAGTCTCAAGTGTCTCTTTAATGCAGTTCCCTGATTTGAAAGGTCAGTACTGTAGGGGTATTACTGGATGCACCGGCTGATTTAGATAGCTTGGTAAAGCCAATTTTTCCACTGTCAGGGCAAGCTAGTGAGGATTTGTTTGATGTCATGCTGGTGTAAGAACAGCCCTACATCTTCATGAAGACAAAGGAGAAGTGCACCAAGGGTAGCAACACACCAAACTTTCTCATATCTGCAACCCTACAATGGCAGAACAGCCTCAAAGGGACTGGGTAGCAATTCAATCAATATGGTCCAGCTGCTCCTTAGCTTTCTCCAGGATGGCCAAGGCAAGCCATAACCTGTCCACTAAGCAATGATCCACCTGGCACCCATCAGATGGAGAACAAGTTGTGACCAAGGTTGGATTTGCCTCAGAAACTCAGACTAATGTTATCACTATCAACAGAGCTGAGTGATTATTTTTCTTAATGAATAATATCATTGGATGAAAAATGATATATTTTTTAAGGAGAACAAAATAAATTATGCACCTGGGGCAAAGTCAGTGAATAATTTTGACCAAGACAAGTAAAAAAAGTAGAATGTGCCAAAGTGAGTCAGTGCAGCATTTTTAAATACACCATTTTGACTTTCTAGTTGTAAATGATTTTCATTTTGAAACTGACAAAAAATAAAAGAGGGGCAGGGGGAAAAAGAAGACATAATAATCTAGAGCCAAAGCAAACAGGTTCTGTGTCCCAGGGGGCAGCAGCTGTTGTTCTTGCCCCCTTGTAAATCAATGCCTGGGGCTGGTGCCCTGGTTGCCTACCTCTATTAACACCACTGAAATAACCCAACACTCAAAGATGCAAATAAACATCTCTTTTTTGTGTGTGTATCAAATGAAAAATTTGGGGTCAACTTGAAACTAATATTTTCCATATCAGGCCAAACCAAACTGAAATGTCTCTCTGTGGATTTTCTTTCTTTCTTCCTTTTTTTTTTAAAACCATTTTTGTGTAACCACCTCATCAAAATTTCCATTACTTACATAGTTCTGATTCCTAATTCATCAGGTCAATTGAGTCCCCTGGAATATTTGTCAATAGATATAGGTATAATTTTGCATTGATGGGAAAAACTCAGAGGTTATTGCAATCTACGCTATTCAGCTTCCATAGTATGTGCGTGTTGCTCAGAGGAAGCCACAGGTTATCAGTGATCGTGACTGTTCCTGGAGAGCAATTCAAAACACTGGGTGGGGTAGATTAGAAACATACAGAATGAACCCTCTTTTTCC